ATATATATATATATTCAAAATAGTTCATGTTTCAGGCCAAATTAAGCAAAACTAATAATATTTTCGAAAAATTGATAGAGATATTTTTTCAAGAATAGTTTTGGTGAACAAATTTCATTAAGAAAAAAAAATCTTCAATAGTGTAGTTGTAGGAAGGCGCCGAAAATTTAACTTTTTTTAAAAAAGAAAAATCTTTCCGAAAATTCAACTTTTTCAAAAAAGGAAAAATCTTTCCGAAAATTCAAAGTTTACAACGAAAATACGATCAGCACAACTCTTTGCCATTCTTTCATATATACAAAGGAAAAAATTTAAAAAAATAAATGTAGCAAAGTACACATACAAAAAGGGGGCTGGTCTGATTTTTGTTATCTGAATGTTCAAAAATTGTAGAAATTGATATTTGGAATCTTCCTACTACACTGTTCCAAATGTTTTAATTTTTTACTCTAATAGATTAGTGATCATAGCATAGATTGATTTTCATTTTATCTTTTGGTTTTCTAAAACAGTATTACTGAAAAAAATGCACTTCATATCACACAAAGTGTAGATCACTGCTTGATGGAAACATCGAAATTTGTCATGTGTCTGTTAATTTTCAAATTATGTTCAAAACTTATTACAAAATAGTAACTACTTATTTGATCACAATGCTTAATGGAAAAAATGAACAAACATCACATTTCATTATCCTTACACAATGTCTTGCAATGTTTCCACAAGTTGATGGGATTTTATAAAAAAATTTCATTCACATTTGGAAGGAAATTTTTGAGGACGATGTTAGTGATTGAAAAATATTTCAAATATTTCAGCCCAAAATAAGTGCAAATTTGTTTTGAAGATGATGTGGCAAACAAGTATTTTTAATTTGTTATTAAAGATTTCATGTTCATGCATTAATTTCATTGAATGTTTAGTATTCTTTCAAATGTTAATGTACATTTTTTTCAGGATGTTGAGCCAAGTGATGATGAAGGTTCAGATCATAGTACCCCACAAGCCACTCCGCGCCGACCTCATGCTCACCATCGTCCTCGAAAACAGGAGAAGAAGAAAAGGCGATAACTGATAGAAAGTTGAAATTAACGGATAATGGTAAGAGAAATTAGGCTGAAAAGGTGTGTTCAAGCATGTAAAATTCTGTGTTTGCTTTTGCAAATCAAAGAAATCCCTTCTGAGTTAAAATGAGGGAAAACAGAGTTTATCTGCATATGATGTAAATTGTTTTGTTAGTGAATATTATAATGCTTTATCTTTCTTGTGGACCATAATTTTGAAAGTTAATATACAAAATGCAATGAATGTGTGGAGACTAAATTATTTATGATAAATGCCTTTGTGTCGTTTATTCATATTTTAATATCAAATTACTGTCCTTCCTGTGTTGCAGATACCTTCACTTGAGAGATGGAGTCAAAACTCAGTGTAAAATGTATAATGGTGAAGTTAATGAAATTTTTAATTTAACTTTCTGTGAAACAATTTGGTGATGAAGTCAGTCATTTGTTTATTATATTATGACAAAAACAATTATGATACAAATAATAATTGGAAACATTATGTTAAATAGATTACTAGCAAGGATGTAAATTATTTGAAATTGCTGAATGATGATAAGCTAATTGTTTATCTTGATGGTTCAATCCTAAGGATGATTTTCCAAAAGCCTATATTAAATTTACAACAACAATATGGTGTTCAATTTACGTCTAATTATATCTCTTGTTTAACCCCTCAGTTACTCACGCTGTTAGAAAAAATCTAACAAATCTGGATTTATTTAAATATCATTGTCATCTTTCAACAAACAGATTACACTCCAACTGTGCCTTCCTGCACGATTCAACTCTACATCTGTTCAAGGTTCTTATCAGTTCTGAAAAGGGAAACAATATGAGAAGGCACTGATTAATGCAGCTCATCCTGTTAGATATTTTCTCACACGTAGGCAACCGCTTTATATTTTGATACGATTATCACGTCCACTCTTCTGACAGTTATTCACTCTCTTTTGTGTCTCTAATACTTTTGTGAAGATCAAAAAAGCTTAGTATCTCATCTTGCTCGTGTTTTTATACCTTAAATCAAAGGTAAGATTCATAGATTTAAAACGAATATTGTCCGACATCCCTTTGCTGTAATTTCTGTTACTTAGTTTTGTTTTCTTTTTAGAGTTAAAAGTTATTTTGGGAAGCAACAAAGAAAAAAGAAGATGTGCTCCTTGTTCAAAGAGGCAAACCAGGTTCACACAGGATTTTATTTATTTGCTCCAAATTCCTCTGAAAAGAACACAGAAGAAATACTTTTTGTTTGCAATGAATGTAGATCTGAGGAAGCTGATTTTAGTTCATAAATGTCCCTGTATATTTCAATGTGGTGAAGTGTTTATTGCATTATATGTATTCTATGATTTGCCTTTCTTAAATAAATTTGCTTTGTATAATATTTCACTTCATGACAGATTTTTATTTGAGTTTTTATTATAAACAAAAATTATGTACCTGCATGTTATCTTTATGCATTATTGCATCTACACAAGTTGAAGAACTCAATAACAAATATTTCTGAATATTAAAGCACAAATTTGATTCGTAATAATACAATAAATACAACATAAACAGTTGTTAGATAAAATCTAACATGCAAGTAATTGCGTTACAAAAATATTCACCAGTAATGACAGGTTAATGTACTGAGTCTTTCATGGTGAGTCAATGAAAATTGGAATAAAAGAGAAACATTCATCTGTTATGTAACTGTTTTAAATGAGAAATCTCTTGACACTTAATTACAGTTTTAAAATTGAAATTTTAATTCCTTGTTAGTTCTTTGATTACTATTTGATTATTTGCCATATAAATTTGTGAAAAGAGTTTGAACGTGATTGAAAGAGTCAGCATAATATTGTAATAACCCTCATTTTTCAGCTCATGTTTTAAGCGAGACGATAATGAAAGTTTGTGTATACATATCTATATACCATGTGTTGTAGTTCCATGAATGTGTTTAAACTGTTTGGATCAATTGTTGCTGTTTGCTTCTTGTTGGGGGAGGGAGGAACTAAGATCTTTATCTTTGATTTGTGAAATGAGGATTACCATAAAGTAGCCATCATCCTTTTAATATTTGATGGCAAAACAATTGAAATAATGTATTGGTAACACACAATTTATTGAAATTCATATTTTTTTTAAAATTTTTAATAAAGAACTTTTTACATAATTATTGAAAATTATATTCAAACAAAATTAAGTATTTAAAGGGAATCATACTGATTTTACTGTTATCTTTACTGACAAGTCTCATGTGTTTCTTCCTTTCCTTAGTTTTTTGTCCTTGAAACTACACTAATACTGAGTTCTCAAAATTTCCCAATGCAACAATGCTTTGCCATAAAGATAACAATTCATGCTTTATCTTGAAATGGTAACACCTTGTTCTTGGACTATTAGCATAATTTTTTTTTTTTCAATACATTGGATGCTATTATTGTTTTGTGACCAATGGGAGTTTTGTGTCACTAGTGTGTTTGTTTTGGATGAAACCATGGGTCATATGATTAAAAATGAACACTTGCTCCATAATAAATTGCGTCTATTCCAAGACACTGGACAAAAGCTCCATTTAGTATGAATAAAACCTTTGTATGTCTCCAAGGAATTTGCTTGTGAATAAGTGATAGGGGAGGGCAAGAGTTTTGAAAAGGCCACTGTGGATTATCAGTTTTGTACGTGTAGTAATCTTTGACTCAATGACCTCGGATACTTGCAAGTATGAATGAAATAAGATTTGATAAGATGTTATAAAATTTTTATAAGGGAGATATCTACATAAAAGGGCGTTGCAAATAAAATCAAGAAATTTTCGAGAATGTAACAATAAAAGTGTTAGTTTTACAACAAATCTTATAGCAAATTTTGTCTATAATTATGTATGAGCAACAATGTTGGTTGGATTGAGAGTTATGGAAATGTATGCAGAGCATGCAGAAAAATACTTTTAAAAGCCCCTCACCCACCTCCAGTCCACCCCCCACTTTTGATGATTTTTAATATAATTTGTGGTAGGTACCAACAAACAATCGTGCCAACCTTTCAAAACCAAAAGAAAATTAAATGATGTAGATGGTCTCCCACTTATGTTGCCTGAAACGCAGGCAACGGCTCACTTTTCAATGTTGCAATATTACGTAACTATCCAATAACGCGACAAAGTATCTGTTGTCGTAGCATCTCTAGTTTCTCCATATTTACGTATTTATATCAAGTACTATATCTGGGGTCTTATTGGACCACAATCTGTACTGACAAATGGAAGTGGTAAACATGAATGTGTTCTGCAACATACCGGGTGTAAATAATTGATTTTATATAAGAATACCTTTTCCAAGTTTTTTCATAACATAATAAATACAATTTATTCATTTTAAATATTTCACGTAAAGAATAACCTTTACCATACGTAGCCTGCATTGTTTGTTCATAATGCTTAAGAAATATGAGTTTGTGAAAGTTATTTCGAGATAAAACAATATCAGACAAAAAGTGACGTTATGAGCATTTTTTGGAGTTCATGACTATGTTTGAATTGAGAATGGGAAAATTAAAAACTATACCGTCAGTCAAACCGGTGCCATGTAACGAAAAAAAACAAAAAAACAAACAAACTGTAATATGAAAAATCTGTGAAAATGGTGTGGTACCTGCTTAATAAGTTCACAAAGACATATCTAGAAAACCGAAACTATTCTGCAGATATTCAGGAAAATATTAACAAATTAATGATCGTGGGGTCCAGAAAAGACCCCCGATATGGTACGAGGGATACATTTTTTGTATTGATGGAGGTTTAGAGGGCGCTTCAGCTATTGGGGTCTTTGGCCCCCTAAATAGATTTAATCAGTTATGTACGTCTACGTGTAAATAACCATAGTCTAGGTCTATATACAAACAACGCGTAGACAAAGATAATCTATGTAGGCAACGGTAATCTTTTTTTTTTTTTTTTTTTGTAGGGCAAGGGCGAATCTACGAGTGTCATGCTCCGCACACATTTATTTATAAAAAATAAATATTAAATTTTGGTATAATTGTTGTACTAAATTTATCCAAAGCAATACTGATTTGATGACTTCTAAAGAAGTTCTGCCATTATGAATAAACATTTTTTAAATTTCAAGTTAAGTGTTTTGCTTTTAAAATATTTATAGGGCATGTGACAGGCATGACTGGAATTGCCTTTCTCTCCTGTGAAATACTTATCGGGTCCGTCTCTCTTGCGGGGGAGCGAAGAGGTATGCGACGTGATCAGAGATCTGCACACCGGATTGGCGATCCTGCACTTTGAGTGAAAGAGCCGGATGCAAAGTTGTCAGATGTACAAGTTGAAATAAGTTCCTACTGTTTTCACGAGATGGTTACGGAGGTTGTCATATCTTCATCAGGAGTGGTATATTTTGACTTATTAGAAGTTTTATTTTCGATTCAATATTATATTTTAACATGCTTGTACTATTAATACTTATTTTACATTTATTTGGATTATATAATCTGGAAAAATAATGGTCTACACAAATTACATTGTCTACATAAGAAGAGTCGTGTAGCCTACATGTAGATTACATGTAGAACACATTCTTAGACGTAAAATTATGATTTACGGCACATCTCTTGCTTTTGCAACATTCCTTTAATTAAATCTACTTACCTGGTAATTAAAAGCGTGTTTATTGCATACAGAGAGGACTTGAATTCCGCCTTAAAGATACAAATCTCCCAAAAAACAAAAACAAAAAACAAAACAAAAACAAAAAAAAGCATTGAGAGCGCGGAATCATCGCCGAGTACCTCCTGTAAGGAGTTGCCCAGGCAATGTCTTCATCGACTGCCATCGAATTTGGTACAATGCAGTAGGACGTGTTCCACAGAAAGAATCGTTCTGCACGAATCGCAGATGGGAGATTCCCCTCGAAGAATGAAACCGTGAGAAAAGTTACTGTGTCCGATTCGAAGATGGGTTAAAATGACTTCTGACTGAATTCTTTATCACCCTTAATTTAAAAGTGGAGTTGTGCCACTGTTTGCCACGCTTTTAAGAAGGATCGTTTCAAAAAAGCCTTAACATCGGAAGGTGGTACAGAAGGAATGTCAGTATGAGCCGTCCGCGTCGCCGATTTCGCCGCCTAGTCAGTCAGCTCATTCCTTGCGATTCCCACAAGGCCTGGAACCCCACCGAGTACAAGATCATAGTGGCGAGAGAGAAGGCGATAAGTCAGGTTTTGAACTGTTTTCATCAGGCGGTCTGGAAGAAAGGAATACAGCTTGAAGATAGCTGAGAGAATCGGAACAGATAACTACTCGCCGCTGACTCCATGTTCGAGAGGTCTTCGAGAATTGAATACATTTCTGCAGTGTATACTCTGCACTGGGAAAGACGCAGATTAGATTTGATCCTGATACAATTAAAGTTACATGTCACTGCGTCATTGTAAGATGAACCATTCGTGTACAAGAATATATGATTCTGATAGGCTCCCCTTATTTCCTGAAAATGCATCTGGTAAACAAGAGAACTAACAGTTTGTGAAGATCAAAGAGTCTGAGGTCAATATTGGGGCGGAGGAGTTTCCAGGGGGGAATGAGGTCTTTTGGGGGTTTCACAGGGGTGGGAAGATTGATCCCGCAAAAGATTTCGCAATCGAACACCTGGGGACTGAGATAGCGATGTTTAATGAATATATGTTTCATTTATAAGATGGATACTTATTTGGTGACAGATGATAAAAGAGTCCTGACACTTTAACACCATAAGCCGCCAATAGAGTATGCCGACTTCTTTTCAAGGATGGATCTCCAGCTTCAGCTAGAAGGCACTTGATATCGCTGGTGCGATATACCTGTTAAGAGGCGGATATGAGAGTAAAAGTTTAACATAAATAAAAATAAGTTTTAAAAATTGCAAGATTAGCAATATTTGAAAAAGTCATTTTTTTCTGAGTAATAGAAAACTTATTTGCATCGGTACACGAATTGCAAGTATGATTTTTCTGCATTGCTAACAAAATATCAACTCGCCCTATCCTCTACTCTTACCATTACAAGCAAAAGGAGAGTTCAAAAAACGTTGCATAGTGAAGGTACATTTACGTCCAGAAGCAAAACAAGGGGACATTTCAGCATTTGCTCAATGAATCAGGGAAACTGGACAAAAACCTGATCGAGATGGGGGTCATTGACCTGGAAGCTGAAGCACAAAGCATGCATATATATGTACTTTAAAATTAGGTTCTTTCTCATCATCAACCTTTTGGCAATCATATTGATCTTATTCCATTCCTCACCTTTTGGGTATTTTCCCCCTTTCCCTGAAAAAGTCAGTGATGTATGGCTAATTTATTGTTTAATATTATTATCAGTATTATAATATTATTTTTATTTTTAAGCATTTATTGATTACCTGTAACATCTTCTAAAATACTAACTTATCTTTTAATACTAAATTATTTTTGCCATTTTCATTGCTGTGGGGGGAGTACAATACAAACTCCTCAAATGCATAAAAATGTAGAACAAATTGGACAAATCAACATTCATACTCACAAAACTTCAGTCTCTAGCAGAATCTATACATACATACGAACTGCCTTGACCAACAGTCATAGCGTTTTTTTCAACTTGAAATTAAGAAAAGATAAAATCTTTAATTGTCAACAGGTTCTGTTATCAGCGTTTCTTAGTTTATATTCAGACTAATATAATTTATGAATGAAGACTGAAAAGGAAATTTGTTTCAGAAGAACAATTACACTTGCCTCCATTTATAGTTTTGCCTCCATATAAAAAGGTGTTCAAATGTTGACATTTCAGAAATTAACAATCATATGGATTAAGCATCATAGTTTACATTAGTGTTGCTGATATTTGTAACTGGAGTGATCAGTGTAATGGTTGAGTTCTAACTATGTTTCGTTTATCATGACTGCATGAACATTACTCGGTGAAAAAGGATTGTATTTAATATAATAAGGATATTCGTATTTAACTTTAATATTTTAACAAGAAATTTATTGAAATCAATTAGCTTTCGTCACCAAACTAATTGCTTAAATGAAGTTGAAAATATTTTTTTTTTCATGAGATGTGTGATTCACTAAAGATAGTGGTAGAGCCTTTAGTTAACGTTAAAGCTAGTTACCAGCATCTTACATTTTTCAATGGCATAGGTAAAAAAAAAAGTTTTATAAGTGACTTGCAGAATTGTGCCCCACTGCAGTCTTCCCGCTCTGACAGTGTTGCTGCGACCTGGTATTCTCAAGCCGTAATCAACCCCTGTAGTCTCCTAGATCAGAATTACTTCAGTCCCATCGACATTCCACGCCGCCTGCTAGTCCTGAGTTGCTCGACCCCACCCAGCAATGTCCAGCAAAAATGTAGCCCAGGTGGATTGTGAATTGCATTTAACTGAAGCAAAATCTTGTGGTGCGTCGCTATCTAATGGAGAGTTACAACAAAGTGAACAGCATAAAAAACCTTCTCCACGAGGGGGGTAAACGAGCGGTGGAAATTATCACACACCGTCATAACCTTAATGCTGTCCAAGGCATACGTCTACACGATGCCTGGAAATATCTATTTTACCAGGACGTCCGGTCTCGACCGGACGCGGTGCTAGCTGTTCCACAACGTCCGATTACGGACGGAACGCCTTCTCTCACCCCGCGGGGAGCTCGCCCCTAATCGGCCGGCACACTCTCTCCGCATTGGCCGACCATCCGGCCAACCGGCACACGGGTAGAGGGGGAACTCGGTCCAATTTTAACTCGTGCGCAATAAATCTCCGCGCATTACGCCCTGAGGAAGGTCAAAGAATGGCGATCGAAACGTCGGCACCTTTGCCACGGACGCGGCGTCACCTGGACATTAATACTTCAATTAAATACTTCTCCATGAAGAAACACTAAGAAGCAAACTGCATGGAGATTTGTCAAACGGTGTCTGAGTTTATTGATTTCGAATATACCAACATTCATTTTTTTTTGTAGAGAGATAGTCTGCAAAATGCAACTGCAAATGTGAGAGTACAAAAATGATTGAATTTCATAAGCACATAAATGCAAAGTTACATTGTTATTTTATTGCAATAAAATTGCTATGATTAAAATTAATGAAATCTGAAAATTAATATTTCATTTCTGTTTGGCATTTGTGTTTATTAAATTGAAATAATATGATGTTAATGTGCAGGAGACAGTAATTAATTTGAAACAGTTTATTTCTATGAAAGTCTCTTTTGAAATTCACTACATACATTTACTATTGGGGGAGGGAAAATGCAACAATGTAGTAAATTAGACATACAAATTACATTTTATTCAGAGTTCCATTTGCATTTGTTAATATAGTTCAGAGTTTAAATAACACTATTGTTATAGTTAGTAGAACATTGATAGACTTGTGAAAAAATTCTTGTTTTCAGTGGCAAGGCTTTGTAAAATTATGTACTATATTTCAACATTATGGTGATGAAAAATACATAAATCCTTTTACAAACTTCTTGTATTAAACATAATGCTTATAATTTTTTTTTACTAATGTTACAGAGTGACCTATAATTCAAGCATCATTTGAAAATGTACAATGATGTATTTCTTTTCTTTTTTTGCTAACATTAGGCAATAATATTATTACCTGGTACAACTTTTCTGGCAGTTTTAGTCTCCAGACTGTAGCTTTCTTTCATTATTTCAAGGACACTAGATGTGTACAATGTTGAACTTGTTTGGCAGATTTAAATGCACCCCTAAATTTCATAATTTCAACAACAACAACAGCATTACATATTGGATTCAAAAGTGATGCATGTTTGAGAGAAAAGATGTCAGAATCTCTATTTGACATGCCAAATCTGCCATATATCTTCAGTAATTAAGGTCTGGTCATTGTAAAACATGTGTACTAAATATTGACATTTTTTTTCTCAAAGAGAGAAACCAGAGAACTGAATGGTGCAAATGCAGCAAGAAAGGCCACAACATTTTTCATATATTTATGAACATAACACCTGATGCTTACTTTATTTTGCTTTGAAACATCATGAAGGGATAAGATTATGGCTTCCTAATTAAATGCCGAAACCTCTTAATATAATTTGTTTTCTTTCTATTTATTATTGCAGTTTTACGATTCAGAGAATATAGTAGCTTGTGTGTGTGCAAGTTATATTGCCAAGTCAATAAATATTAGATTTTTGTTTCTTGAAAATGCAGTTATTGGAGGAGTCAAATGTTTATGGAAATTAAATGCTTTTGAAAATAACTTAAAAACTTTAAAAACAAATTGTTTTTCTGGAAAGAATGGGGATATACAAAAAATCCAATTATTTGATTTGTTTTAATTTGGTAAAAGATTGGCAAACTGTAGGAAATATATAACATTTCTGTGCCAAGCTTTTACTACATAATTAAAATATATTTGTTGGTTGGTGAATGGTATGTTCCGAGTAATCTTTGCTGTAAATACAACTATTTGACATAATATTAATTCACAAGGCAGTAGGAAAATCTTGTTTGAAGCAATCCAGTTTTTGCACTAAACTACAAATGTTACTCATTAGAAATTACATGTTTTTGTAGTACACAAGCACTTACTCAGTAAAGTAAGTTATATGATCAAATGGCTGAGGGGATTGTCACCTTGTGTGCTATTTCACATTTAAAGCATATCTGCTTTTATACTTGTTTCATGAATAACTTAAAGAGTAAATTTTGTCTGCAGTCTTTGTTTAAGCACAGTGTTAGTCATGATTAGCAATTTAGGACCTATTTATAAAATTACAAAACTAAGCCTCTACATATTTCATATTCAACATGTTTAAATTGTATTTACATATAATTTGATTCTGTTGTTTTAAATTTTCAGAAAATAGTAATTTTTCTCTAATAATTTTTGCTCCTTGCAAATGCTGAATAAAATGAAAAACATAAAATTGTGAGACTATTAACATGCATTTATTATTAATGTTTTAACACAGAACAGAATACTTACAAGAAAATGAGAAAATAATAATTAAACAAAGAACAATGTTTTCTCTGTTATAGTCTGTACAACCAGTACAGCCAGATGTAGTATGCAAACTCTCAATTTTGCTGCTACAAATGATTAAAGATTAGAATAGGTATTAATCATTGACATTAGCTACTTCTTTATTTCATTAGCACTGATGTGTGATAATGAAGGAGTAGTATTGCAGCAATTCTGGAATTGACTATATCGAATTATTTAAATTTTTGATTACATGCTCTGTTATGCAGAACTGTAATATAGCTACTTCCAGAGAAATAGCTCTAATATACTTTGATTATCTGTCTGATACTGAGGCATACATTATGTACAATTGACTTTCGCATGGAAATATATTAATATTGAGTCTTCAATCAGTATAAGTATCAAGATGTGATAAAAATAGATTTCATGAACTGCTTACTCAGATGACAATGCATCAAAGTAACTTTTGCCTTTCTGATGTATTCCTTTTGTGGTTATCTTATGGATGGAAGCATTAATGTCATAAACCAACCTGAGGTTACATTATGCTCTTGGAATAGGTTGAGGTACAGTTGGTCCCTAACTTTTTCCAGATTTGATTGTGTCCTGGCACCAATTGCTCAGCTAAGCTTCATAGAAAGTTTGATTTTTATATTAGTTTTTATGGCCTGAGTTGAGGCAGTGTGCATATCACCGAAATTTAGCTATCTTCAATAACACAACAACTGTGAGCACCTGGGTGAGACGGTGGGCCCAGTACAATCTGAAAGCAAAGTGAACAACAAGTGTAAAATAAAAATAAGTTGTTTTTATATTGACATTATTGTTGAAAAAAGTAAATTAATAATTTCAATGTTAATAAGAAACTAATAAAATATCTAGCATTATTTTTTCATATATGTATATCCACTGGATAAGTAACTGCCATCATGTAAAAAATTAATCTTAAGACTTAATAGAAATATGTTTTCTAGATTCCTGAGACCAATGAGTTTAAGTTCAAGATTTGTCTGTGAGCAACTATGAACTGCAAACTCGTAAAACATTCACTGGATTTTTTCCAAAGAGAACATTTTATTATATTTGCTTCAGTTCAAAGCCCAGAGAATTTTAAAGACATTTTTTAGGGGTCTTAAGGAACATTTCAACCATACTGCATTTTAAACCTTTCTTTTAAGTGGGCCTAAAAAAAAATTGTTTGAATAGGGAAGAGCTAAAGTATAATTTTTACAATTTTTGAAATTTGAAAATTTAATTTTTAAATTACAAGCTTTCCAGGACTGAATAATAGAGAGAGAAAAAAACATTCAAAGAGTTTGAGAATATCAATGTTATATCAGCTAGTTCTGCACTGGGAGATGTACAAAGATTATGGAAAACTAGTTCACACTTACTTCTGAAGTTTTTTCTTGGCACTTGGAATTGTGTCTGCTGAATCCTTCAGAATGTAATGTCTAATGCCAAGCATGTAGAATTTGACATAGGTATCCCAGTCCATCTGAGAAACATCCACATCAAATATTGCTCGATCGAGGGGATCTCGCAAAAGATCTTGTACATTTTCATTATGAAAATTCCATTCATGTAAAGCAAAAAACTCTCCTGTTCGTGCTGCCATTTGAAATCTCTTTGAGATCTTCATCATGCTAAAACATAAATATAACAATGCATCTTTAGTAGGTTATTAAAAATTTACGAATAGCTGATTTATAAGATAAATCCAATTTCCCTAACCCTAATAAATATACAAAGAACTGAGAATTTACCTTTTCAGTTTGGTTAAAACTCACAAATTTGAGCCCACATATCTGTTCAAAGCAAATGGGTAAGCGTATTCTATTTATTTTGAGCTTAACATTAAAAAAATTAAATTGCTAAAAAATCAATAACAAAACTCAAATGAAAAGATATACAATTGCCATGAAAATGGGGCAAGAGAGAATTTTACAGGTAGGATCAAAATATTTGTACCACTTTAAGATTATTATTAATATTAAGATTAATATTAGTCAGAGAGAAATGATAATAATAAAAAAAATTGAACTCTGAAATGTACCTTGTATAATTATTTTTAAAAGCAAAAATATAGCATTGTCTAATGAGCAAAGAAAGAAATCCTTTTTTGAAGAACCATATGCTTTTAACCTTCTTGTTATTAAGCCTATTTCTTAGTTACCTAAAAACTATTTAATTATTAAGGTTTTGATTTCAATGATAAAAACTTGGATTTATCATGATTTGTAATGAAATTCCTAGTAAAGAATATATTACAACTTCTATTCTACTCACACTTCAGCCATCATTTGAAAACTCCTAAGCAAATTAAGTGAAAGAGTTTAAAAAAAATACATACCTTCAATTTTTGTAATTAAAATATTTAAATGAAAGTGGCTTTCCACAATTGAATCCAATGTATTCCTTTACAGTGTAATAATGGATGGCATGCTTGTAGAACCTACATGTTTGGCGCATTCATGTAGACCCTACATGGAGTATTAACCATCAAAGCTAAACAAAGCATTGGCAGTGGCTGTGGGCTGAAAAGGTGGCAGTTTGCTATTGCACAGAACAATATTACATTTATGTTCTGAACACTACCTGTTTGGTATACAACGTCCCTGAACACTGCCCTCATAACAGCACTGACTAGAGCAGGGTTGTCCAACTGCTGGGCCATGGGCTACATGCGTCCCATACTGCCATTTAAGTCCTATCCCATACTGCCTGCAAAAGGCCCTCTAGTGCATGTACCCTGCTGGGGTCATCACCTTCTTTAATGTAAATATAAGTAAAGTTTTGATTTAAGGAATTTTTTCTAGTAAATTCAGAAATTAAAATTTATCCCAATTTGATTCACTGCATTATGTATGGTACAGCCTATCATGGATGGTTCCATTCCTTCCACCTCATTTCAGAGCAGCCTGACAAAGTGTTGTGATCAATGTTACAAGGAAGTCAGGTGTGGATTGCCCAAGTAAGAAAAATATGCCCTGCAACGATATTAAAGGTTTTAGTTGTGGTCCTTGAGGCCTTACAAGTTGGACACCCCTGGACTAGGGCAACCTATTTCGTTACAGAAAATAATTTCATTTTCAATGCCATTTTTATAAGTGTATATTACTCCATTTCAGAAAAAATTGGATCCATTTTCGAAAAAAAAATTTAAAATCTTGGGGTGTCATGTGAAGTAATCCCAAAAATTAAAATACTCATTTGGAAATTGAGGCACTGTGACATCATCTGGATCAATCAGGGAATACCAATTTTTGTGAAAATTTGTACAGTGTAGGTGCTAGTGTTATTCATTGACGGACGGACACATGCAAATTACTACTTTAGTATCAAGGCCTCATGAAACAACATTGGAATTTGACTTTGTTATGTATTCAATATGGTAATTTACTACGCATAGATGAAAGAAAAATTAACTTGGCTGTGTCAGGGTCTAAGAGTTTTTCTGTCTAAACACTTTTTCCTCCAGAATTGCAATACTTCCTCCACATTAGTATGTAGAGCAATTCAAGAGAGAAAGAAATGATACTGTGTTATTTGAAAACTTAAGAATTTAATTTAATTTTGTAGAAGAGAGTGAACAATTTAGAAGACAATGTTTATATTGATCTTGGTGACAACACATTCATGATAGTTTTGTCAGATATTACTTAGGCAAACAAATTTATGAAATTTTACTGATGTTTACTGTTTCATACATGTAGTGTGAAGAATGTTTTGCTTTGCTGCAAAAAATGAATGTTGATATTTTTCAGCATTTCACATTTTGGAGGTGGATGATATATTCTTTTTTTCTGTCTCTTTAATTAATTCTCTCTCTTTCATTCTCCCCCCCCCACCACCACCAAACATCTTATCAGTCTATATGTCTGCGAACAACACTCATCAACACTAATGCCTAATCTGTTTACAGTATATTTTGACCAACGTGAATAGTATTCTGCAAATGATCTGGATGTTGGCAGAAGACCTTGAATTAACAACAGATCTTCTCATTTTGGGGATATTTTTCTTGAAGACCATAGGACATTTTCAAAAGTTTCTCAAAAATGTTTCCTCAATTTTTCCTCAAATAGGACAAAGTATGGTTATAAAAATGAAAGTGGTGCAATTTTCAAACAAATCTGACCGCTTCTAAATTGCAAAGGGTAAATATTTTTTGATGTGCTCCTACAATAACATTATTGAAGATGACAATTTTTTATTAATGAAATCTTCTGTTTTGAATTTAAGTTTTTAAATAATGTAATGTACAATTTAAATAAAAAATTGGAGTAAGTTGGACGTAATTTTGTGTGGCAAAAATAATAAGAGAAGTAATGTAATGTAGCATTCTAATTTTATTATGGAATTTATGTGGTATTTCTGAATTTCATGAACTTTTTTGAAAAATATATACCTACTTTTAACAATTATTATGAGAACTTACCAATTCATTTTCTATTAACTATCAAACTTACATAGGTTTGGATCCCTGCAGTCTCAACATGATGTCCACTACAAATGCAGGTAGGAAATGAAAGAGTGATTCACAAATTTTGTGAACCAGGCGATTGGTGCGGAAAGTGAAGCCAGGATACCACATCACATGTCTTGTTGGTGTTGCACAAGCATGCTTTTGAGTCAGACGACCAAATTCAAACCAACGAACTGGATTCTTGGAGCCAGAGGTACAGTTGTAGACTCTTACTGCATTGGGTCTGTGAAAATAATATCAAATTAAATTCCAGTGTTTTTTAATAAAAAAGGTTTTTTCTAGAATATACAAGTAATACACGTCAATAAGTATTGTATATTGTAGAAGAGAGAGAAAGAATAGTATTTGTATTAACAGGGGTTGGGAGAAAAATGTGACTTCTACACCATTCAAACAGTGTTAATTTCCAGTCAACAAAGGGTGCAAGAATACGATTAACAGAAAAACAGCATTGCTGTTTTTTGGGAGACTACATGAGAAAATTAAGTTACTGCTGATTAATTCATTTTTAAAGAGGAACATATCTACAGTCATGGTTGTCATCAGCACCAAATTACCAGTCTCTTCCCATATTCCTCACATACCAAAAAACATTGGAGGGGAGCTTCTCCTCTGGTAGAAACTCCTTTGAAATATTTCATATCTTTGAGAGCTTTGTGCACATTTTGTGTGTTTATTTAGTAATATAGAGCAATTAGATATCAATCTCATTGAGAGTGAAAAATTGTTGGCTCTACACAGCTTTTTAGGTGGTGAGGAGGAAAGAATTGAAACATGTTCAAAGAAAGCACGTTCTATACCACAATATAAATACCATAATATAAATATATAATACCATACCATAATATAAATTGATGATGTTTTATAATTATAAAGAAGGATTTATGAATAATTAAACAGATACATTAATATAATAGTTATATTGTACATACAATTTGCTATTGTACTTAAATTATGTGGTTATTGTATTAACAGTACCGATATTTCATTAAAGAAACTGAAATGAGATATTATGTTCACCCTTTTGACTCTGCCATCATTACTTATTAAATTGACAAAATCCACAAGAAATTTTTTGTTGGTTGAAGTATTTATTTAATATCCAATTAACTTTTGTAAACAAAATTAAAGTCTCAACCCTTGGGTTTTACTTGCTCAGTAGGGTCTACTTCAGTCAAGCACAACTTACCTATATGTAGCTGTGTGCCAGGCTACAGCAATCAATGAATTTACAACAAAGTCTACTGGTATAAGGTCCATGACTAATCTCTCATTGCATATGATACTTCGAATGGTTCCTCGTCCTATTTCCATCATTATGCCTGTGATACCACATACATTGTCCACCCAGCCAGGTACAGGTTCCTTCCACGCAGCTGTAACTAAAGAATTTAGAACAGAAATACATTAACAGTTTTAGAGAAAATAAAACAAGTAAGTTTTGATTAGAACAAGTACAGTTTGCAAGTTTTAATGGCATTGGAATAAACAGGAAAGATCTTTTCAATTTGTAGGGATCATTTTATGTGCTCCCAAGCAAATTGGAATGTCCTGCTAATTTTTTCCTATTTCTCTCAAGTTTAATAAGAATACAACTGAGGCTGTAGCAAGTAATGGGGTCTGTAGGATCCTCCTCCTGGAGAACACAGAAATGAATTCTGCTTGTTTTATTCTGTGCCTATGCTAATTTTCCATTATTATATTTTTTATTTGTTGGGTTAGCAGAGCAATTCAAGGCCACAATGAACATTTTATAAGATATTCAGTTACCTTCCATTCATTGGATAGTTTTCTCTTTTTAGTTACTGAATCAATGTAAATACCTAACACATTAAAAAAAATTAAATATACATTATGTAGTCATCAGGCCATTTTAGACCTGTCAGTAACTGGACGAGTAAATTAGTTGTGAAGTACTTCTTTTTTTTAAATGGACCTCTCAAAAGCAGTGTGTAGAAAGACGTGAAGGCAGAATCTGACAGCTCAAAAGTACTGTAATCAACTTCAACAGTTTACAGATCACATTGTAAAGACTAACCTTTTTTTACAGGTGGTAAAAAAGCAATTACCATCTTCTCAATTATATGAACAGAGTTTTCTTATGTCATTTGGCTGAGAAACTCTGATTTTGCATCATTTTCTATTATTTTTTAACTTTATTCATTTTTTAAAAATTTTTATTTACATTTTACATAATTTTTTAAATGAAAAAAACGTTATTTTCTATTTGTATATTTATTTAATTAAAACGTAGTTTTACTTTCTCGCGCTTAAGAAGGAACTTCTTAAGAAGACCCTGATAACGAGAAAGTGTATGGATCCAATTAATTAATTTACAAAAAAATATCGTAACACACGGTGTAGGTAGAATGCCTATTTTGTGAGTTCTTGATACCGAAAAATCGGCGGGCCTGTCCATCTCTAAACAATGCTAGGGGATAAATCGTTCAGCCGAATTTCTCCAAAATTGATATTCTCCGATCGATCTGGCTGATGCCGCGGCCCCCTTGAATTTGAAATTGATATTTTAATTTCTGCGCGTACTTTACAATAAAACCCTGGGACATTTTCAAAATTTTGAAAAAAAAATGGCGAAATCGATTTTGATTAAATTTTGTTGTCGGATAGTTAGAAGGACGTTTAAGATAATGGCGCAGGTCTCATCTCAGCTCAAGTGATGCGAAACTAACTGTGCAGGCACAGAAATCGATAGTGCTTTACCTTTCGAGGGTGCTCAAACTTCCTACTAACTAGTTTGTGCACCCTCGAACGTTAAACCACTATCGATCTTCTGCGCATGCGCAGTTAGTTTCGTATTTAGTGCATTTGCGCATGCGCAGAAGATTGTTAGTGCTGTCCGCTATGGCGTGCACAAACTCCCTACTAGCTGCTTGGCTGCCTGGAGAAGATTTCGCCCTGAGGAAGTTCGCTGCTAAAATGTTGGCACCTTTGCCTAGGTCTCGGCGTCTCCCGGACAGCTTAGAAGCTGGCGACTGCAATTCGATCTTTTGAGCATGCGCTGATGCACAAAAGTGATGTAACACTAACTGCGCATGGGTAGATGATCGATAGTGCTGTCGATTTCTTTAACGTCTCGAGGGGCAAAACTTCCTACTTTTATGGATCATCGCACACGCACTCTAATTGCGCATCCGCAGAAGTTGATAATGCTGTCGATTGCAGTAACACTTTGCCGTACAAAAACTTCCTACTGTACGCAATAGGGAATTTGTGCACCCTCGAACGCTAAAGCAATCAAATGCACTATCGATCTTCTGCGCATGACCAGTTCGCATATTGCACCACTTTTGTTCCTCTACGCATGCGCCGAAAATCCAAATTGCAGTCAATCGCTGTCCCTAGGGAGTTTGTGCACGCCATAGCGGACAGCACTATCGATCTTCTGCGCGTGCGCAGAAATACTAGTGATGCGAAACTAGAACTCCGCATGCTCAGAAGATCGATAGTGCTTTATCGTTCGAGGGTGCACAAACTCCCTACTATTATGAGTGTTTACATTGCATAGTGTACAGCAGTTGATTGCAATTTCGATCTTCTGCACATATGCATATGCACAAAAGTAGGGGTTTGCCGGACAGCACTGTCGATCTTCCGCTTATACGCAGATGCACACAAGTGAAGCGAAACTTTAATTGCGCATGCACAACAGATCGATAGTGCCGTCTATTTCTATAACGCTTCGCCGTACAAAAACTACATAATGTCCTTCCAGTCTATTACAGCTCTTGGGGTGTTGGAAACTAGCACAAAGTTACGGTGACATTCACTGTGACTTAATTGGAAAGAATGTCTTACGGCGATATATGCTTCCGGGACCAAAATATTCGTATTTATTATCCAATATCATGGGGAACACGCCTGAATGTGTTTTACCACCTGGAATGACTCACCTGTATAATATGTAAGCAATTGAGAAAAAAAGCTACTAAAAGTGAATAATATTTTTGATTTAGACCGTTTTAATGATATTTATAAAGGGTTAAAGGTTCAGAAGAGTCTTTTTTTAAAACGTTTGCTGTAAATTAAAAAGGATTAAATCACATTCTTAAAGTAATGTAATTTAAAAATAATTATAGAATCGTTAAATTATATCAAATAGTAATTATGTACACCAGAATGCATTGAAATTCTTGATTAAATTTTTATACTGTTTTGGCAAATGGACTTTTCGTCTAGCTATAGCCACAGTTGTTAATCTTTTAAAGTTGTTTAAATTTTCAGAACAAAAAATTGAAAGAAGTAGATTATGAATTGACCGAGATTGATAAAAATACACTCACCTATTGAGGGCCTAACTATTGCAGCAGGAATATCACCTGCCTGTTGAGATACTACCCATTCCGCCATTGCTTTTGTTATAGTGTACGTATTTGGATGTTTCCCTTTTAACTTGTTTGCAACAACTTCCAAAGCCTCATCACTGAGTATTTCACAACATTCGATTACTTTATCTGGATCTGCAGGGGGTGGATACACTGCCTCCAAAACTTCTGTTTTATCTGCATTTGAGTACGCTGTTGACACATGAACAAGGGCCTGCAAATAATAATAACAATAATAAAAATAATAACAACAATAATAACTAACATAACAATAATAACTAACATAACAATAATAACTAACATAACAATAATAACTAATAATAACAATAATAACAACAATAACAATAACCAATGACAAACAAAGGTTTTGACACAGATACACTTTTGCCTGATTCTATAGTATTTTCATATGAGAAACACATCCGTGTTATCAAAATTTTGCTATTACGTATAGTTTTTGGAGACATTATCAAACTGCTGTGTAAAATTTGTTATTTTTGAAATTATTGTCTTTCAGCTGTTATTGTTTATTTATATGAATTATATAATTATTAGGTGCAGGTGGCATACATGTGTGTGTTAAGTTCGTGTTTCATCAGAGAAGGTGGGAGGCATAGTCCTGTTAGGACTTTCGTAGACATCTCGCGACATACACATTTCCAGGCTGATCACTGCATTGCGCCAGTTCTTCGTAGACTCCTTAAGTGTTTGAATTGATATAGTGCTATATTAGCAACTTTGATTTGTATGTGAGAAATTAAATATTCCACAAAAGTGCATAAACGACCCGGATAGTTTCTGTTACGTGTGCGGTGAGTTGACATTTAAACAAAAAAGAAGGAATTTCACTCTTTTTGTTCGAAATTGTTATCTTTATTTTGGTTGCAATAAAGTGGGTTAGGCCAAGAATTGGGCACCTCACACCTGTTGTCTTACGTGTGTAAGGCATGTGTAAGGCGTGTGTAAGGCGTGTGTAAGGGGGGGGGGGCAAAGTCATATGCCATTTGCTCTTTCCATGGAGTAGTGAGAGAGCCGACAGTTCATTCTTCGGACAGTTATTTTTGTGTAACTAGTACAAAGGGAATCTCAAAAATTTCAAAGCATTTTTTAAAGTATCCCAATATACCTTCAGCAATTCGACTTGTACTCCAAAGTCAAGATATCCAAATATCATCTTACTCAGAATCTATCGATTTCGAAAATTCCATTTCAGATGATAATCAGAGTGCAGATCACAATGATAATTAGTACAGTCCAAGTTTTGAGTGATCTAATAAGTTTCATTCATTATCAAAAAGAGATCTGCATGATTTAGTGGGTGATCTTACTTTCCAAAGAAACGGGGAGAACTTTTGGGTTCACGACTGTAAGGGTGGAATTTTCTTCATGCTATTTTCGAAATCGTCAAGATTCATTTAAGAATTTTTTTCCAAGGTGATATAGTGTACTATATTAATATTTCATCAATACTAGACACTCGAGCACTCTGAAAATGGCACATAAACGTGTTTTTCGACCCAGAAGGTTTATGTACTGTTAATTTTGTTATAACTCCAATAGATGGCGCTGTAAAACAAAATAAATGTTAATGCAAATGCAACCCGCAATACTGCAGCATTTTCTAATATATTTCGTTAAATAACTCCGAAACGAAGCGTTCTAGGCCATTAAAAACTAAAATTTTAAGGCCAAAGAGCCTATAGATAGAGAAGGGGAGAGACAGAGAGAGAGAAGGGGAGAGACAGAGAGAGAGAGAGAGAGAAGGGGAGAGACAGAGAGAGAGAGAGAGAAGGGGAGAGACAGAGAGAGAGAGAGAAGGGGAGAGACAGAGAGAGAGAAGGGGAGAGACAGAGAGAGAGAGAGAAGGGGAGA